CCTCTCCCTCCTCCTCTCCCTCCTCCTCTTCCTCCTCCTCTTCCTCCTCCTCTTCCTCCTCCTCCGCTGTTAATTTCTGCTCCTCTTCCCTGTCTAGACTCGCATCGCAGACTTGGAGAGTGTGCCCTCGCTGCATTCCTCGGTCCATGCTGCCTGCGGTCGACGCGTCCCGCCCTGTGTTGTCTGAGATCGCGACAAGACGAAGCGTAAGAGTTGGCGGAGTGGAGTGGTACTCCGCCGGCTACCGTCTTCCCCCCGAGTAGAACGCACGGTCATTATAGCCGTGTTTGGAGCGACTTTCGGTCTAGATACCGCGATAATGACCGTGCGTTCTATTCGGGGGAAGACGCTAGTTCTGCTTGGCAAGATCTTACATTCCCCTTAATTTTTCTCTTCTCTTTTATCTGCTTTTTTCCTTCTCTTCTATTGCTTGCCCCTTCTCCCCCGAGCTTCTCCCTCTCTCTCTCTCTCTCTCTCTCTTTCTCTCTCTCTCTCTCTCTCTCTCTCCCTCTCTCTCTCCTTCGCCCCCTGCCTTTTTCTCTTTTCTTCCTCCTCGAGCAACCCCCGCCCCCCCCCTCTTTTCCTCCCTTCTTTCCCCTCCTCTTCCTCCTGCTGCTCTTTCTACCTTCCATCGTGCTCCCTCTTTCGCTTCCTTTTTCTCTCTCCCTAAAGAAAAAAAGAAAAAAAGAAAAAAAGAAAAAAAGAACAAATTTCTGAAGAAAAAAAAAGAGAAAACAAGAAAAGAGAAAAAAGGAAAAAAAATATGTTGAACTTTGTTGTGACAGTGGCAATTGGTTTATCTGTGGGAAGTGTCATTTGCTTTCTTCCTTTGTCTTTTCTTTGGCTGGATCCTTTTCTCTTTCTCTTGCCTCTGTGAGGTCTGGTTTCCTCCTTTTCTTTACCTCCTTCTTTTTGCCTTTTGGCTGCGTGCAAGTGGGGGGTCCTTGTGACACACGGGGATGGGGGCAGCGGGCGCTCAACCTGTCATCCACGTGGCTGGCCTTGTACGTAAGAGGTGATTAAAAGGTGGGGCTTTCCTTCCTTCCTTCTTTTCCTTTCCTTGTTTTGCTTTTTTTCCGCCTTCGCGCTCCGATTCACAGTGTGACAGTATAGTATTTATATAGCCTTACGTTTACGTCTGTTTTGGACGAGAACCGCGTGTTTTTTGTTTCCGCATTTTACTACAAAGGGGGGGAAGCACGGGGGCAATGTGGTGGAGGGAGAGGACGAGGAGGAACATAACAAGGGGAAACATGAGGGGACGACAGGGAAGATGAGCACAAGGGGAAACATCAGGGGACGACAGGGAACCACTAGCACTGCAGGGGGGGCGTGTTTTGAAAAAAAAAAAGAAAAAAGATGAGGACAAGGGGAAGACGAGGACGGGGGAGATAACGAGGGGGGAGACGACTTGTGAGAGACGATAGAATGAGAAGGAGAAAGACGAGCGGCGGGAAGACGAGGAGCAAGGTGAGTAGGAGGCGGAGGGGAAGGGTAATGTGGAAGCGTGGGATGGCGACGAGGGACGGGGCCGGACACAGCAGCAACCACAGGAGGGCGAGTCCACATTAAGGTGGAGGGGGATTACCTTACGGTGGAGGGGGATTCCATTACGGTGGACTAGAGGGACCTTGCAGGTGACACAGTAGGCACATGTCAGAAAACAAGGGGGATGACAGATGGGGCGGTCCGGACAATTGAACAACCAATCAATCTTTCCATCGGTCGGTCAATCAATCAATCAATCAATCCATCAATCAATCAATCAATCAATTAGTCAATCAGTCAATCAGTCAATCAGTCAATCAATCAATTAGTCTACCAATCAATCACTGATTATCTCGGTATAGTTCCAATTGTTCTTTTCCGTTTTCTTTCCGTCGGTCAATCAATCAATCAATCAATTAATCAATCAATCAATTAGTCAATTAATCAATCAATCAACCAATCAATTAGTCAATCAGTCAATCAATCAATTAGTCTACCAATCAATCACTGATTTTCTCGGTATAGTTCCAATTGTTCTTTTCCGTTTTTTTTCCGTCGGTCAATCAATCAATCAATCAATCAATCAATTAATCAATCAATCAATTAATCAATTAATCAATCAATCAACCAATCAATTAGTCAATTAGTCAGTCAGTCAATTAGTCAGTCAATCAATTAGTCTACCAATCAATCACTGATTTTCTCGGTATAATTCCAATTGTTCTTTTCCCTTCTTTTTCAGTTTCCTTTCTCTTTTTGCTCGACGGAATGATTTTGATCACACTGAAGTTGCTGATCCCCTTCACTGGCACGTGAGCATGCATCATAAGGGAGGTGGTGGGGGGATCATAGCATGTGAACGAGTGTTCTTGCGCACTCGTCGATGGGTAAGCCTTGCTGATGTGTATCGCTCCTCGCAATGCTCACCTGAACATCATTAAATAGTTAAATTTGAAATTTGGTCACGGCAGCAGAAATGGCCTCTTTTTTTTTTTTTTGAAGTACCTGAAGCACCGATCTGTGGTGCCTGTTTGTTAAACTTTTCAGATCTGTAAATACTGTATATCGTCACACATAGATATATGAAGTGGCTGGCCTTGTACGTAAGAGGTGATGAACAAGTGGGGCTTTCCTTCCTTCCTTCTTTTCCTTTCCTTGTTTTGCTTTTTTTCGCCTTCGCGCTCTGATTCACAGTGTGGCAATATATATGACAACATACATACTCCCTCTCTGCCTATGGTTTACCGCAGGGTAGCTCTGTTTGACGATATATGTGGGAATCGTCATCCGGGATCGTCTTTTATACCGGTTTTCTGGGCTCTTTTTGTTTTTTTTTGCAGACAAGAATGTTTTGACATCCTGGCTGGTTTTGTCCCGTCGTTTGGCCTGTGGACAGGGGCGGTGCTTGCATGTGGGACTTGTCATCTGGGATCTGTTTTGTTGCCCCCTGTTCTGTATTATTTGGCTGTTCCCTTCCTCTTTTCTTTGCCTCTTTGCCTTCTGGCTGTGTGCAAGTGGGTCGATATGACACACGGGGGTGTGGGCAGCCGCCGCTCAACCTACATCCCCGTGGGCGGCCTTGTACGCGAGAGGTTCTGAACAGGGGGAGTTATAAGGAAGAAGATTAAGTCATGAATTCATTTTTTCCTGTTTTCCTTCTTTCTTTCTTTTTCCTTTTTTTCGCTTTTGTGCTCTGATATGCTTATATTGTCACATGATATCAGAGCGCCTAAGCGAAAAAACCAAAAAAACAAAAAAATCTTAAATTCGTTTTTAATCTTCTTCCTTACAACTCCCCCTGTTCAGAACCTATACATATCTATATCGTCACATGAATATCAGAGCGCAAAGGCGAAAAAAAAATTGAAAATAAAAATAATTCGTTTCTTATCTTCTTCCTTACAACTGCCCCCCTGTTCAGAACCTCTTACGTACAAGGCCGCCCACGTGGATGTAGGTTGAGCGGCGGCTGCCCCCACCCCCTTGTGTCATATCAACCCACTTGCACACAGCCAAAGGGCAAAGAGGCAAAGAAAAGAGGAAGGGATATGTATATATCTATATATGTAGAGATCGGAAGGTCGATGATGTGGCGGCGCGAGAGGAACGAGTGGGGAATGCAGGGCAAATGATTGGGACGGGGATACGGAAGAGAGAGAAAAAGAGAGACACATACAAACACACACACACACACACACACACACAGAGAGAGAGAGAGAGAGAGAGAGAGAGAGAGAGAGAGAGAGAGAGAGAGAGAGAGAGAGAGAGA